GACAGATCCCAATTCCTCATCCTCCTCACTTTTAGTTTTACATTCACTCACTCCTCACAGTTGAACAGGTGATGGAGAAAAGACAACGGGGGGAGGGATTACGGAGGGAAGCACATGGCTGCAGAGCTGTACTGCAATGTACTTTCTTTGCTTTGTGATCCTGCGGCAACATGCAATGTATATCCTGAGTGGAATTCATGATGTGCAACAATGCTGCAAACCCATATTAAATAACACATGTTGGATTTATATGTAATTCAATACAGCTAAAACAGATTAGTCAGGCCCTTTGTGCACAGGTCTGCTTTGGACTCCATCTACAAAGACTGTTGACAATTCATCAAGGTCCAGCACAGTTGTCTCCATACTACATCAAGGCCAGTGTTTGGACACACAAAATCAGAATGGTCTTAGTTAGAGGAAGAAACACAAGCTGCTTTCAGACGTGCACTGAACTTTGAATAACCTCCTGACATTCTCCGGAGGGGCTGTGTATGAGAACGCGAATGAGAGGCTGCAGAGTTTCTGAGGCCAGCCCTCTAGCTTCAGAGGAAGTCAGAATGATATGAGACCACAGAAGGAGATTCTCCACGAGTGAGTGGGCGTATTGATGACATTTCTGACATGCGTAAAAGAAAAATGAAATCGAATACAAATATCCCAGGATAAAAAGCGGCGCCGTATACTTAGAAGTGGCAGATGAAGACATTAAAGGAGCTTTTGGTTATAAGGGCCTGCGCTAAAGTCAATGTGCTGTAAACAGAAATGTGATCTCTGCTGTAGAATTTCTACATTATGTTCTGCTTCTGCCTGCTCCGTCCTGCTCCACACCTCACATGAACGCTGTGAAGGTTTCTGTGTTGTCGTGAATGTGTCTAAGCGGAGAATCTCCAGCTGCGTTGCTCGTGTGTAAAAGGCAACCTCCGGAGAAAGTCTGCATCCAATTGTGTGGACATCCTCCAAAATGGCTCAAGAGAGGAGTGGAACCACAAGGAGTAAAGAAGGTGAAGAGTAGAATACTGGACCAGCCTCCTGCCAGTGTGTGTGTGCGGGCACTTCAGATAGACTTGTGTCTGGGTTAAGTTTGTTCCACTGTGGTCTTTGGCAGCTTAAAACACATCAAGGAGAGGAGAACAGATCCAGTGACTATTCAAACGAGCAAGTTAGCGGCCTGAGCTATTATTTTCCATCCTCCTCCGCATTTTGAAATCCGATTTTACCCTGAGAACGAACGATTTCTGTTCCTGTTTCCTGCTGCAGTAGAAGAGATAAGATTATGCTGCTGGACACGAGCAAGCCCAACCCTCACCCTTTAAATACACACACACACGTACGCAGAAAACATACAACGGCTACACTGCTGAGATCCTGTTCACATACACATTCAAAACATTGTATTTGCACATTTTCTACTGGATATACTTATCACATGAAATCTTGCACAAAAAAAAAAACCAGGCACACTCTGAGAAAAATTAAAACACATGTGCTGAAACCTCTAGCTACTGTAGCTCGTAACGCTGCCTCCCTAAAGAGTGGACTAACAAATCACAGCAATGACTAATACACAACACAAAGCCAATAACTTGGGAAGAGCAAAGGTTTGAAGGGCAATGAGAAACTCCAGAGGCTTTCAGGCACAACGTGGCTCAATGTGTAGTGATTAGTGATGCCACACAGGGATCAGGGAAAGGTGGTTTTTCCACTGGCAGTATTTTTCAACATGCTATGCTGATTCATCTCCTAATGTGCCATTTGCCTGTGATTTCAACTCTTCTTTCTCTGCACAGCGTTATATCCACATTATCTCACTAAAGGTTTGGTGTTTTGGTGAAGAAACAAACTAACAGAAGCAATATATATTAAAAAAGAGACATTATTCTGCAATTATCTACTTCATCATTCTTTTACTCCTCTGCATTCAGTGGCCTATAGGTTCCTAAAATATTTCAATATCACAAATAGATCAACCATCAACTTTTGATAAATAATGTTTCCATATGGGAAGTCAGCCCAGGAGAGAACTATGATAAGAAGACTATTTGTTTAATACATTCCTCAATGAAAATAGTATAAGGAGATGAAACCTTTATTCTGCTCTAGCTGAATCTGCTAAAACCACAGCCCCTCATTTTATTCTGGGTAGAAACACGGTCATAGGGGCTGAAACAGTGACATCTGACTTGTTGTGAGGAGCCAATAATATGTGGAGACATGAGAAGACGGCAAACAAAGGCAAGCACACACGGTGGGTACGGATGGAGTCTGTAAAATCTGCTTGTTAATATCTGTTTGTAAAAGTCTATTTACTTTGCTGGGCCGTCTAGCTTGACATTACATTCTACCATAAAACTGCTGTGATTTCACTTATCAGCCAACGACAATAAACAACACAAAGCTATAAACTCAAGCTATAAAATGAGGATGAGAGGAAAACAACAGTGGAAGGAAGGAGGAAGATAAGATAAAAACACAATATATTTTGGTCTGAATGTCCTCATGTTGGTGTTGCTCTCCCTTCTGAATGTACAGCTCTACACAAAAAGCCACAGACAGCCTTTAAAAGAAACTCTTGGTACCAAAGTGCATTCATCCTGAGATATGGACCAAGGACGAGAGAGATTATCATGGCTGAACCATCAAGGTCCCATAATGGACGCCCAAACATTTGGTAGCCCATAACAAGGTGCATTTCATCCTGAACCTGTAAGGTGCTGCCAAGCTGTGAGACTCTGGATCCATATCAGTCCACGGAAAAGCCGACCTTGTAAACTATTGACCTTGATATGGACCTTCACAGTCTGCGACTCCATTGCCCCGACCTCAGACTGAACTGAGCTGTAGTCATTTGAGATGGTAACTTTTCTAAAAGCAGCTACTCATGAAAGAACCCTATGGCCCAATTCAACTTTCCTGTTGAAATACCAGCTCAGCCCAGGAAATGCCTTCATAACACACCAGTGGACCACAGCTGCCACAACACTGAAGCATCGGATCGGGGCCCAGTCATTCACTGGTGACACTGAAATACCACATTTCTCCACAGCACAAGCTGTTCTGTCAACATTGCCTGGCTTAATTCATGATCATGGCACGCTAGCACTTCCACTGAGCCTGAATAACATTTGTTTCATTATTAGATGAAAGGCATCCACTCAGTGATTTTATACAGGTAGACATTAATTGGGCCCAGCAGGGCTTCTATCGACAGGATGGATTCCCAATCTCTCTGCCCCCCCCATCATCTGCTGGAGATATAAAACGTTCAATGAGCAAGATTGGTTTTTGCCATTCTTCAGTATTTATCAACCTTAATCTTTGAAAACAAATGTATGATTAGGTTTGCTGACCCTCCGACCGAGGCGGAGTGAGGGTTCATCAGATGGCAGATAAACAACATCATCAATAACAACAACAACCGGATCCAGAAAACAAGGGGGTGTTTCCAAGGCAACTGTGACTCAAGAAGAAATAAGAAAAATATGAATATTTCTCACATTAACTCAACTGATTGTTAACACCACCACAAGGCTGTGGTCATGGTGATGTTAAAAGCCTACCTGAGACTGACAGAGAACACGTTTCGCCACAAACAACCCAAACCACATTGTGCTGTAGGTGCCATTTTTTCAATAAAAGGGAAAAATGCAGTCTTGGCTGTAAGTGGAACCTACAATGTCCAAACTGAATTATTCAGCGACCCCCCAACTGCTGTGGCAAGAAATTCATTTCTGCTGCAAATACAACTACACACTTCGCCTCAAATAAAATAAAAAAAACAACTGGCCGAAAGAATGAGAGTTAAGTTACATTCAGTGCCTTTTCTTTTCCCAGTTCTTGATCATGAAATGTTTTCCTCCAGGAGAACTGATTCCTACCTACAGTGCTGCTGGCATTGACCACCATAGGAAGCGGTGCATATAGAATACTGTGTTGTTTTAGCATTGACTATGAGAGTAGTCTTAGAGAAATTTTAAAACATGGATATATATATACGGCATTATGGAGTGAAATTATTTCCTCTTTGGAATGTTAAAGAACGATGTTTTTAACCCCAGAGCCCTTCATATTTTGACTCAAACTCCTGTCCTTTTCTTTGATTTGACATACAAAGGGACTCAAGTGGAACCAGTGACACCAGTTGGAAAGTTTTGACCTCTAGAGGAAAGTAAAGGCAGCAATAATTACAGTGAATATAGAAAAAAAAAAAACAAAGTAATGATTTACTGGCAGCTCGCTACAGGTCAAAACAGAACACAGTGGGGGGGTGTTGTACTGTAATAGGCTGAATTTTCATAGTTTGGCTCTGAATGTCAGTCAGAGGACGAGGCTCCCATTTCAGTCGACTGGCAAAATTGCCCCGAAAATGTTTAATAATTTGAGCTGGTAAGAAGTGTGTTGGCGGCAAGCATGTAACAATTCTCTCCATAACACCATCACTAAGACGCTCAAAACCCTAAATAAAGCCATTTAGCTTTGAAATGCCACTGACGTTAAGATGATCTAAGGCTACATCCATACTACTACATTTTCATTTGAAAACTTTCTGACCATCCAGACTAATATGTGGCCCCGGAGTCTTCAAACTAAAACGCGGCCAGCAGCGTCTAAAACTCAAGAGTAGTCTGGATGCCAGGTGTATGAGTAGCAGAGTTGATGGGGAATGTAGTAATGTGGATGTAGCCTGACTCATGGCACTGACATGGCTGTTGCTGAAAACTGCATTAAAACTGATTAGCACCAACCAAAGTCAGCCATTTTGCGGTGGAGATTCCCACCCTGCTGGCAAGGCTCTCGTACTAGTGGACACGTGCACAAGGTGCTCTTTCAGAGCGACAGAACAAGTAGTGATGGTTGCAATACCCAGGATGTGATTGATCATTTCGTTCACAAACTCCAGGTTTTGCTGGAGTGGAGCAGACAGACTGACACAGAGCAAAGGGTTAAAAAAAAAAAAAAAAAGTTTCGCAACTAAAGCTAGTAGTATGTGTCTGAATACACACTGCCTCCTCAAATCACCTCCCTCCATCACTCGTTCTATCTGTGAGCAGGATAATTATGTCTGGATTGAAATACATACAAAGCCTATACAGGCAAGGGAACCACCACAGAGGTGAAAACAAGATTATACACAGCACAGGGAGATGAAAAACAGTTAAATGAAAAAGAAAAAAAAGGCAAGAAAAAAAACCCTGAAAATAATTAAAGTTACATCATACAGAGGCTCTGCAGGTTATCAAGGTGAAGGAGAGAGCTTTGACTACTTGTGGACAAGACCAGACCAGCCTGGGCCGTGCCAGACATAAGCGCATGTGAAGCAGCAGGATGAGCCTTTTTAGACACATTAAAAATTGTCACTACTCAAGTCTGGCCAGTGGTTACAGGATTAAATGCCAATTATATTATCCAGTTGTTTTGGACATTCTTAATTGGATAGTTTATTCAGTAAATGCTGTCAGTGGATGACTATGGAATCTGCTGGAAATGGTAATAAATGTTTGTGTCCTAAAACCCCTGTGAATTAAACTCAAAAAATTAAAATAAACACTATCAGCTCACATCAATTCACAAGAATAAACTTTATAGATTGGGCTTAGTTTTCTCACTTGGGTCTGCTTTTTGCTTGGTTCAGAGGTCTCAGCTGAGCTGGACCTGATGGGTCTGGTCTGGTCTTGACAACAGATTAGGCTAAAATGTGCTGGAGTTGCCTCCCTTGCCTACATGCCCATGCTGAAGGCCTGCAGCTCACGGTAGAATTGCTGGGTGGGTTCGGACAAAACCAGGCTAGAATCCAGGCAAGGGTGCCAGACGCGGCCGAGGCCCAGCGAGACCTCCTTGACCAGGTTGTGGACCGGGTCGCCTTCCATGCACACCGACTGGTCCGGGTCAAAGTCGATGCTCTCCTCAGAGACGGTCAGGGTGCGAAGACTGGAACCTCGTAGCCGAGAGATGGCCACCAAGTTATGGGACCAGACAGTGTAACCTACAGATAAAGATAAGGGAGTAAGTACTATCTGTGTAATATACAGCTCGAGAGCTACAAACCACAAGGTTAAATCATAATAAAATATCAATCTCAGTGAACTTAATTACAACATCTCATTTTCCTATATATCAATAATATATCAGCCACTGTAGGTCAAGAAAGAACATTTACAGAAATATTGACTGCAATGTCTAAAACAGCTGGTGTGCAGGCTTTGACAACAGGCCACAGTTACCAAGCAAACCCCTGATGTTTGAGATGTTGCCAGGCAGTCGTCTCCATCAAACTTTGTGCCACCTTTCCCTCCCAACAAAATTCTAGTACAGTGCTAAATTCATCACTATAAGCAGTTGATTATTTTAGAAGAATCTTCTAGCTTCTTTCCTCTCACACACACATGCACGCACACACACACACACACACAGCTGACGTCTCTGAGTCGCTACAGTTTAAATGTCGATTTGTTAGAAATGACACAATATCAACAATGATCATCACATACGTCGATACTTATATAAAATGAATCTAATCTTTCTTCAGAGCAGCACATTCGTTCATAATTCAGCTCGTCTCTCGCGCTGATATGCACCCACAAGTACCAAAATTGATTTAATGTGAATCAGCACCCGGTAGTACAGACATAATTCAGTGGTACCCTCATAAGTACTGAGTTTGGTACCCATACCTATTTACTGTATATGCCACAATCAACAAGCTCAACTTACCATGTATCACCAGTACAGCCAGCTGAGTACATCTCCATGCTAAAAGGACCAGTGGGTCTTCGTTGCGATTGACACTGAGGTCAGGGAAGTCGGGGTCATCCCTCAGGAGCAGGAAGTGAGTCAGCGTTTTGTTGTACTGCTGAGAGATGAGCTCCAATGTGGCATCAGTCACCAGTGTGCTGTAACTGTCGAGGTGGAGGCGCACCAGAGGAAGGCTTGGTTTTAGGACCCTGAGGAGCTCCGAGCTGTCGACCTCTAGGGCCATGATATAGACTCGCAGGTTGGCACTCACACGAACCTGAGGATGAACAGGTTATCTTGACTGATGAATTCAATGATAAGTGGTACTTTTCAACAAACATCCATGCCTTGTCATCCAATACAACAACTGTTACATAGAAAATCTGAGATTACCAGTGCCTTCCAATCGTCCTCTGTAGCGGTCCCTTCTAACGATTTGAACTCCAGGGCGGCGCCATTGAGCAGCAGGGAGAGGCGATGGAGTGGAGTTCGGCGTGGCGATGCCAGCAGACCACAAAGCTCAGATGTCAAGTCAGAGAAATCCAGAGCCAAAGAATTAAGATTAGAGAGTCGATCTAACTCTGATGGTGAGATGAGTGGGCCTGAAGACAGTTTCCAGAAAGGAGACATGTTACAAAACAAAAATGTGCAAATCTGGCTGTAATTGTTGAACTATTTAATCAAGTGGTGAGCCCCAAGCTTGTGACATACCAGACAAACACATACCTAGCTGGTGGTCCAGTAAACTGAGGTGCCGCAGGGTCTCAGCTGAAGGATTAGAGAGGCAGGCTAAGGAGCAGGGAGTCACCAGACCCAGCATGAAGCTGCAGGACAACCATCTCAGCTGCCGGCTGTTGGACAGCAACTCCATGAACAACTGCTGGATCCTGCAAATAGCAGAGGGGACTGGTTAATGAACAGAGGTAGGGGGAATTATCTTAAAAGAACTTTACCAGCATGACTCAAGCTTCCTAGAAGGTTGCTTTGACACACCTGCAAATCTGTCCATTCCAAAAGAATGAAATGAAATCTAGGACTGATTGCATCCTTAAAAATACACCTTAGAGGTCAAGAAGGAAAAAACAGATTGAGTTTGGGATATAGAATTTAGCATAGAGAAATGTATAACACTGGGAAAATTTGAGTTTTATATGAGAATATAAGACCAATGAAATCAAAAACAAGTATTTAAATTATTCAAATTTTACTCTATATGCAGACTTGAACAGTGTGTGCGATTATATGTAAGCACATTTTATCAGGCATTATTTAACTGGTTTGATGAAAAACAATAAAACAAAGCAGAAAACAGAGGGTACGTGTTCTTCTTGTAAGGCCACCAACATCACTAACATTGAGTTTATGAAACAAACCAAGAGTGGTGGTTGTGAATGAGAAGTACTATGTTACAAAAAGGAACGGACCTCAAGAGAACCAACCACCTGTGGACATCAAACAATATGTGAATGCTTAAAAGTTCTATGAAGTAGCACAGTGCATGACTCGAAGAATATGTAGAACAACATCAAAGAAGTAACATTAGAGATGCTCCAATACTGATACCAGCATTCCAACACGCCTCCAACACTGACAAAATTGCTGGCTCCGGCATCTACAAGTACTTAAATCTATGTGCCGATCCGATGACGTCTTTGTATATTAGTTTCACCCAGATAGAACTGCTATTTTATTTTCCTGGACATCACTTCTTTGCTGCTCCAAAACAAACATCTTCAATCTTTTTATTCAGAAAATTGTAAGTGTGCTTACTCATTGATCTTTTTGTCCCCCTGGTGGATTTGGTGCAGGTTTGAGCTGTCTAATAGTCCCTCCTGCTGAAGAATACAGGTGTCTCCATACAGACTCAGCTTTTTCAGGTTTCTAGAGAACAAGAGAGTCAACACAAAGATGTTACAAACAGAAAAAAAACATTACATACTAGACTGATCCATGACTTTGTCTTGTGGTGATGGGATCACAACTGCCACACATTTCAACATCTCGATGTTCCCCTCGTAATTACTCAGTAGTCATCACCAAATCATCACAAGTATTCAGCACTCACTGGTTAAATGTCAACTGCATCCATGCACACATAAATACAGATAACAAAAATCATTTGCAGCTGGTGACGTCGAAATGATCATCTAAAAGAAACAGCTCAACCTATCTGTACCAGAATCCTCCATCTCCCACAAGACAGCAGGATTATCTTTGATTGGTCAACATTTATTTAAGTTGTTAGTCAGGCTGGTATAAGTTGGTTAGATCACACACTGCACATAGAGGATGCCTGGTAATCTTGGGGTTGTGGGTGACCATTTCCATCCAAACCATTTAATGAGGTAAAGTATAGGCATTTTGTTCAATCTAATCCAACCCTGGTTCGGTACATTACTGAGTTCCCAGTAAAGCATTATATCTGCTGTCTTGAGCCCTTTATATCGACATACTCTGTAAGGCAAAAATCAAGAAAAAAGTCCATGTGCTAAAAGTTGCAGCTTTAAAAACAGTTTAGATATGGCAATGCATTATCAACCACAGGCAGCTACACATGACATGGGTCTATCCAGTAGGTAATGTGAAACATGTGTTTGATGCAGCTCATTTCCTGTAAATGGCTAAGCTTTCACAAGATCCTCAGACAGACTTGTGAACAACAGCTACTTAGTGAGGAAAACCCCCAATAAAGGAAGAATGTCTCCTCTCATTGTTCCGAACATGAACCAGCACCTGTGGAGTGCTGAAAGAAACACACACACTGTATCATACCACAAAGGCCTACCATGAACCATGTACCATTACATTTTCTTTCAATTTAGAGCATGGACATTTTCACTGATTTCCCAGGGAATAATTCATGGTTCTTTAAAACTTCAGAAACATGTATAGGACTGGTATTTATTGGGTGTCAGCACCTTGATTGTATTTCAGACAACTGTCGGGCCTTAGCAGAGGTTTGCACACTAGTGAGTGCTAATCTGGATTTTGAATGGAAACATCTCAATAAGAAGGATTCAGGCAGAAGAAGTGGTTTCAGCCATGAACTGGACAGCTGTGGATTACAGCTATTTCATTACAACAAAGGACTGTAGAGCATAATAGAGAAGGTGGGAGAAGGCCTCATAGAGGTTTTGCACTGAAATCAGAAATCTTGTCAAGTTCTATAGAATGTCCACAGCAGAAATGATTCAAGGGGCTATATTTAATCTAGGCACCTTAAAGCTGATCATAACATACAATGTGCAACGACATACCAGAGCTAAAAAATATATATATATATATATATACACACTATATATGTGTGTGTGTCAGTGCTGATATCAGCAAGTCACAGCCAACAAAGCCTTCTCTGGCCACCACCAGTTCTGCATTGTATCAGCTGGTATGTACAGACCAGTGTAACATGGGAAACACAAGCAGCAACAAAAGAAACGCTGGCGAGCATTCGACGTGTCATGGACACTGACGCATCCATCATATATACAGTGTTATCTGACGTCAGAAAACGTAAAGAACTGGACATTAAAAGCTAATATTTCACAATGTGTTCAAATACATAAAGATAACACTGACTGCTAGCTGCACTGCAAAGACATGACCTGATTACGTAACTGCTAATGTCAGGGTTTGTTTATAGCAAACTAAGCTAGCTAGCTAGCTGCTAGCTTAATACGACGCAACAAATACTGTCATGTTACCTAACGATTCTTTTCTTTGACTTTAATGTTGAGAATTCATTCAAATGAACCAAGAGAAAAACGGAAATAGGTTTTTTTTCCAGCGAATGTAACGGTACCTGTTGTTGCGGATGCTGGTGACCACACACAGCACCTGGTCCAAGTAGGTGGCCATGGCGTCCCTCCATCGCTCGGAGAGTTGCGGGTCGCCGTCCGGACCGGGCGGCTGGTCCATCCTGGCGGACGACGGGTCGTTGCTCAGGGGGCTGAGGTAGCCTTCTACTGGCGCGAGTTCCAGCTGCAGCTCCCGCACGAAAGAACCGAACTTCCGCATGAGGAACTCCAGCCTCGGGGTCTCCTCGGAGCCGCCGCCGCCGAGACGCCCGCCGCCTATCCGCAGCTTGAGCTCGGTCCACAGCGCCGGGTAGAAGAGACACTCCCTCCACCGCGAACACACGGCCGAGGCCCGGAGCTTGTCTCGGTCGGACAGAAAGGAGAATATATGGACGATAAGCTCGCTGGGCAAAGCCATGGCTCCGACACCCCCACACAGAGCCATGGCGAGGCAAGAGAGGTGCTGTCTGAAAACCAACCGGATAAAAAGGAAATGTAACAACCGTCTTTAAAATGGGCCCAGCAGCGGCCGATCAGCGCTTCTCCTGCGGGCTGAAAACAACCAGTGTTTTCGGCTTTGCCTTCAATAGTATTGGACCGTACCACCGTCTGTCCAAACAAGGGGATCCCCCCGAGTGTCATCAATATAACATAAACATATATAGCGGGACACGTTCCAGTGTTTCTGTTTGATAGAATTAAAGTTTTATTTGTACATGATATTCAGGCATTTGTGACTTTTTCACATCTGTGGTTGCATGTCTATGTTGTCAAGTGAATGGTTCGGTCCCGAGGTGCTGTTATTTTTGCCATACTGCCGTGCTCCGAGGGAGGGCGCTGTCTCTCCACTTCCAGAAAAATCGACACGTGATTTTTATTTTGGAGTGTATGGTTTCCATCCAGACACACCCCCTCATAGACTGCTGCAGAGGGAGAGCACGAGGGAGAGAGAGAGAGAGAGAGAGATGATAAACGGGTTGATGGATGAAAATGAAACCACGTATAACATCATGATCATATCATCAGACAGCGGACAACTTTCAACAACAGACTGGTTCAGCTCTGCTGCTGCAAAGACAGAAACAGGAAGTCTTGCTTGCCCACAGCAATAAGACTGTACGATTCTCACCTCTTATAGTTTCTATCCACACCATAACTCTCGGATTACTGCTGCAATAACTGTTTGTTTATTTATTTTCTTTTGCACATATTATATTTATATTCATATTTATTACTGTAGTCATGTTCCTAACAAATACTGCAATTTTGTCTATTTGTAGTCTCTTGTATTCTTTCTTTATTTTACCCTTTGTGAATGTCCTTGACCTGCTGCTGTGATACAACAATTTCCCAATTGGGATCAATAAAGTACTTCAATTACCGTTTTTCACAATATGATTCACCTGAAATGTAGCAAATGAGCAACACGTGTTCTTTATTTTTACAGACATGCCAGGGGTTACGCCTTTACCCGTATCCACGTCTCAAAGGGCCAAATGCCCTGGACCTGTTAAAACAGGTGGCCTTATCCAGGTTCTTCACCACAGTCGGTGGACAGAACCCATGAGGACCGCCATTGATGAGCTGCTGATAAAGCACCATGGAGCTAAAGACATTCTGAGGCGAGTGGATGTAGACTATGCTGCCATGGTGCAGAGGGCGTGCAGGAACCCCAACAGCCTCCTCCATCCCACCACTTGGCAACATATATCAAGATATGTGAAACATGTTGCCAAATTAAAAAACACCAGCTCCTGTCTCAACACCAGCTCAGAGAGGGCGTCGGAAACAAAGAAGTTGTGGCACAGTTTGACTACAGGCAGCCAGACAGTCAGCGTGCCCGTCACAATTTTACCCCCTGCCCCTATCAACCCTCCCCCGTTGGTCACTCTCAGGATGAGACACTAACTGCACGGCTGCAGTAGTGAGGATTGTGGCAGTGGTTCTACAGCAGCAACAACCACAGCAGCTACAACAACAACAGCAGCAGCCGCAGAGGAAATTGACAAGGAACTGCTTAGCCTGTGGACAGCCAAAGTCTACCTTGTGATGGCTCTTCTGTTCATTTTTTATTATCGATCGCCATCTATTAATCGTTTTTACTGCTCCACAAGAGTCTCAAAGGGCTCAAAGAATCCAGAATGTCCTTCCAAGAATTTGCTGCTTCTCCATTTTTCCAGCAGGAACTTGATGCTGCCAAAAAGAGGGCTGCAGAGTGCAAAAGGGTCAGAGAGGAGAGAAAAAAAAGAAGTGCCACAGAGCCTCTGCCATATGGTAGTGGATGTAACATATTTTTGGCCACTGAGTGTAATTTGGGAGCGCTGTTGCCCCGTACCGGAAATCGGAACCAGAAACCCTTCTCTTTAACTTTTCTCATTCATTCTCTATGGTAGTTTCTTAACCATACGGATGGTAAATATTTTTGACCACTTGTCTACCAAGTGTAATTTAGTAGCGCTGTTTATCCATTTTCAAAGAGGACAGTGGGACCCCGTTTGCACACCTGTGAATTCAAAGGAAAGCATCAGCAGCCACTTCGTAAAGTACAGTAAAAAGTTTTTATCGTCAAGTTTGACCAACAAAACTTAATCGTAAGTCAAGCTATTCAACTTGCCTCGCCTTCATGGTTACGCTAAACCACTGGTAGTTTCTAGTGGCATTGGAACGCCAAGGGTCATAGTAGACATCACTGGCCAGTAGCATTTTAGCCTCCCGACTCACTTGTTAGGTCTGTAAGAAGTACTGGCACGTGGATAAACCCCAATGGCTGGAGATGTTACCACAGCGCACCAGCAACATTGTGCCAGCATTCCTGACATTTAAAAAAGCCATCTGTAAATCTGTCATGGATGAGGTGAGATGCAGTGGCAGATCAGCGGACGATATGATCAAGCAGCTGACAGAGGTGCRTCACCTTAAATATGAAAGAGCTCATTAGGCCTACCTCTCGAGTGTAAGGAACATTAGGGATGGTGAGGCAGGGGTCTATGGTCAGAAAACCAACACTGGGCTTCTTAGACAGGTGGACACTCCGGCTCAGTTTGGGCGATTACGGGGATGGCGATGGCTGGTGTGGTGTGTCCATTTCTTCACACTATCTGGTCGACTGCCTGGTTCAGGAGTATAGGAGACAGGGACACCTTCTCACCCTTCTGCTGCAAAGGACCTTTGGACGGGCCTTAAGGGCAGATCACACCCGCAAAGTGGCAAGGAAGGTGGTGTTGTCATCAGGCACCATGTCCTCCTATTCCATCATGAATGAGAACTGGATGATCCTGAGATGGGTGATGCTGCGGTGATGAGTGTGACCAGTCCCTGAATCCATTGTACGAGGGTCTGGATCAACGCTACACTGCAGCAGGAGTGGAGAAGGCTAACTACCAGTGGGTGGATAGGTAAACAGGAACGGTTCAGATTGTCAGCAAAATATTACATTTCTATATTTAAAGTATATTTTAGTGTTAGGATGATACAATTTTCAAATTTGCTAGAATTTCAAATTCAGGTTTAACTGTTTTGCTAGTTCTGCAAGCAAACATTCTTTTGAGTTGAATAACATTTCTTTTTAATGTGTCAGGGACTGCTGTGCACCATTCAAGATCCGGGAACTGCGTCTCCATGAACACCTCCTATGGGACAGCTGGAGGACTACGGCAGCAATAGAGGCAGAGGCAACATCTGGGAACCTGGCAAACAGATGTGCATCAAGACACACTGCATGCGTCGTTTTTCCAGGAAATGTGTGTCAGAGCATCATCCTTTGCCAGTTTCTCTCGGCTGCATTCTTTGTTCTGGATCAGAGGGACATGGAAAAGTTGAAGGAGGCATACACGGCATGTGGAATCTCTGCTAATCCCACCAAGCAGCATGTGAGAAAGGAGCCACAGCCGAGAGAACTGCTGCGGAGAGTAGATGTTCTACATCATTTTTACTTAACGAAGGACGTCAATGATGTGCTTCTCTTTAAGCCCTCCATGTTAAAGGCATGGGAGATTCAGCGTGTCCACATATTGAGAGGCTGTCTGAGCGACCCTGAGGTGGAGGATGGAATCCTCTACAGGTATGGTGGAAGCTTGCAGCTCAACTGTAACAAAAGCAAAAAAGCTGCCGTACCCGTTTGGATCCCTGTGAGAGGCACTTCTCAGSAGGAGGGCTTCCACGCACACCAAGCTATTCGCGACTGGCCTCCGCGTGACAGGCAGAGATACTGTCCACTATACTAACCAGGAAGGGTGAAAAGTAATGATGAAACAGTGCATGTCAGGATTTGTATTCATGTCATTGTACATAGCACTGAACTCTGCATTCGCATTTGCACTGATTGATTAAGGTATATATTGAAACAATACAGCATCAATACTAACAGCCACACCACACATATGCCCACTTAATAAAAACATGAGGTTTTACAATCTCAATGTGGTCTTGTTTTCCTCACCTGCATCACTCCCATTATTGTCAAGTTAGCATAATTTTGTGCGTTTTGTCACTCGATAAAACTCACCAGTCCCTGTGAAATTGTGAAAGTACAAATTTCAACACACTACACCAGGTCTCAAATCTGTAGCCACAAAATAAATCAAGAGGAAAGAGGACCACCCAACTCAGGGATCAGTGACTGAGCTTATTTTAGGTGTTAGGACACCTCCAATAACAATTAAAATCACTTTAATGTCCTAAATTATTTTTAATAGTTATCTCATCTGTTGTTTGGGTAATTAGCATGTTAGCTGTATTCATTAACTACTATGATTAATGAATTGGCTTGTTAACTAGCATATCCTTAACCTGGTGCTAAGAGTGAGGGTCCAACTGAATTTTGTAAAAATCTATATCAGTTGTTAGTGTAAAAATAAACTGAAGACAAGAGTAATCATTTACAACCATTTGGAAGTCTCTTCAGGTAATTCAAAACTGGTTGATCTGTTTAGCTGAAGGTCCAACATAGATCTGTTTATTTTTAGGAAAGTCCCAGGAGAAGAAAATATCTCTTCTGCCAGACAATCACTCAAGATGGGCAGCAATGTAGTTTAAAAGTTTCAAATAGAAAACACAGCAAACCAGGATGTCTAGCAGGATGTCGGGTTGTCTAGGAGCTCATTCCAAGCATGACAGTAAAAGACAGACTTTCGCAGTTCTCTTCGGGTAGTTGGGAAGTTGAGGAGAATTTTCTCAGATGATCATGTGTTGTAGCAATTGTCACAGTCCAATGAATCAGTCTGAAAGACAGGAGAAATGTGACATTATTCTAGTTTTTGTGTGGCTGGATTTTTCATCAAAAAACACTTGTGAATAGTCTTCATTATCTTTCTGTTGGAAGAGTGAACTTTAGGATCCCCTCCAGCCATAAGGACTTACTGAACTGGTTTGACTTCTTTCTTCCTTACTTTCCTCTCAAAGTTTAACCTTCCCCAGGCGGAGAGGGGCTCGAGCCTCTGGCCACCCACCTCTAATGTACTTTGATGGAGGAGGATGGGGAAATGAAGAAGGAGGTGACTGAGGGAGCAGCGGGCGAGATGCCTCAGACGCCATGTGGGATATTTAGATGTGGGAATTGTATTTGGAG